AATAGTGAAAATTACCCCTTGTTTATTTTAAAATATTTATTCACTCATTTATTTATATTTATTTAGATTGTGTGTGTGTGTGTAGGCGCACATGTGGAGGAGAAGACCGTTTGTGGGTGTTGGTTCTGTACTTCTGTCATGTGATCCTGGGAATCAAACTTAGGTTTTTGGTGTTGGTGGCAGGTACTCTTTACCTGCTGAGTCATCTAACTGGCTCTCTATTAAGTTTTTAAGTAACTGATTTGTTTCATGGAAAATGATAATTTTGGAGCATATTTATAATTTGAATAAGTAAATGCTTAGTTGAAATATTAGACATAAAATTACTCATTTTAGTTAACTGTAACTGTTTGATTGCAGATATTTCCCCACACTGATGGGCAGCTAACTGAGGTAGCTATCCAGTACAGCCAACTCTCAATTATCTGTGGTAATGGGAAAAAACAGTGCATGGATAAAACTAAAACAAAGTATTTTATATAGTGCCTTTCTGTCATCTGCTGGGGCCTGAGCATGTGCTTGGGTTCATGAGGGACATGTGGGAATGGGGCTCAGGTTTGTGAAAGAGCCATGGGAGTCAATATGGTTACCTCAAAGCTAAAGGAACCTGGTTTGGCACAGTGTGGCTGAAGTGTCTTGGGGGAGCCTCAGGCATGCAAGAGCAGCTTGGCAGTAGTGGTGAGAAGGATGGAAAGATTCATTAGTGAGGAACTGTGGGAGAGTAAATCCTCGAGTCCTGCACAGTTTTGGTATTCCTTGGTGCGTCTTTGGTTAACAGGCTCTGTAGCGGACAGTAGTAGTATTAACATAGTGCTCTTGCATTACTTTTGCCTACTGTTTTTGCTAGCTGAGCACATATTTTTACTTGCTACAGGGGAGTGCTGTTATTGAGGCCCTTTCTAGATAAGAATGTGTTTATTGTTATATAATTGGTAACTTTAGAATTCTGGTATAAATTGAATTTTTTTGTTGCTGTTAAAATTCTTTCCCAGATATCACTGTGGAATCTGTACTTCCAAAGATTGAACTTACTGAGTTTTAGCATTGTAATGTCAAGGAATGTTATGAAGGTAAAGGTAGTAAGTAATTCCCGAAAGCTGTGCATTTGATTTAGGAAAAGCATAGTAGCCGCATGTAATATTTAAAATACCATATACAAATTTTATTGAATACCTTTTAAGTTGATGAATGTTGAGGGTAGGTGATAGGTATAGGTTGGTGGTATTTATACTATTCTAATTTGAATATGCTTGCGTTTTCTACAAGAGGTCTTTGTTGTATTTCTTGCATTTTAGTTTTTTGAGACATGTAGCCCCGGCTGACTTTGAATTCACTAGTCCTTGAGTTCTTGATCATCATACCTCTACTTCCCAAGTGCTGGGATGATAGACCTGGATTACCACACCTGACTTACAAGAGAAAGCTTTAAAAAAGCTTCCAGGTCTTTGGTTTTCAACCAGGGTAGTGTTGCCCTCAAGAAGACATTTACCAACATGAGGTACTTTTGATTTTCCCAGGGTGGGGAAGTGCTGTAGGTTATGTTTACCCAGGCACTTCTTTATATCCCATGGTGTATACAATAGCCAAAATATCGGTTGGTTTCAGTTTATTATAGATTTAGAATGCTGTTGTTAGGACTACATTCTTAGGGTTTAATTTCTGAATAAGTTGTATGTTTTTAAAACCTTAGGAGAGAAAATAAAAACTTAAAGAAGATTACCTTCTGATAAATTTTCTTATATCAATCTGAAAAAAATCCATTAGTGCCATATTTTTAAAATTATTTTTTAATGTGTATTCGTGCATTGCCTGCACGTTGGTAAGTGTACCTGTGTTGTGCAATGCCCTTGGATGACAGAAGCAGCTGTCAGATCCCCTAGAACTGGAGTTACGGACTGTTGTTAGCTGCCATGTGGGTTCTGGGATTCAAACCTGTGTCTTCTGTAAGAACAATCAGTGTTCTTAACTGCTGAGCCATCTCTCCAGCCCCAGTGCCATATTTTTTTTTGTTGTCTGTTTTAAAATACACTTGTGTAAGAAGTTATGAGTAATTTCTCTAGCCCATTATTTAATGATGTAGAACGACTCATCAAATTATTCAAACTTGCATTTCTCTGAAGTTAATAATGAAGTAAACTTTAACAAACTTTTTTTTTTTTTTTTTTCTGGTGTTCCTTTTGTTTTGGTTATTTTGAGGCAGGGTATCATGTAGTCCAGGGTTTCTTCAAATTTGCTGTCTAACAGGCTGGCCTTGAATCCTCATTCTCTTGAGTCTGTCTCCCAAGTGCTGGGATTACAGGTGCGTTCCACCATGCCTAGCTTCAAACTTGTTTTCTGTTTAAGTTCTCTCAAGTATTTCCAAAGAAAGCAACTCTTATAATTTATATAACATGGGCAGAAAAAGTTCAAAGACTTTTTTGTGGTGGCACATGCCTTTAATCCCAGCATTCGGGAGGCAGAGGCAGGCGGATCTCTGTGAGTTCAAGGCCAAGCTGGTCTACATAGTGAGTTCCAGGACAGCTGGGGCTACAGGGAGACCCTGTCTCAAAAAGGCCAAAAAAAAAAAAAAAAACTTAAGATGATAAGGTTTCTACCTTGGTCAGTTTTTTGCTTCGTTTATTTATTAATTATGAGTGGATTCTGTTGCTTTGCAACACTCTTGATGTAAACAAATGCAGTACTTTGACTTTGTTTCAAGTTCACTTTGTAAGTTAGTGCAGAAAGATAAACATTAGCTTTCAGGTTTATTCACATGTAACACCATCAGGATACTTAGTCTTCTCATTGCTGTTACCTACTTTGAGAAAGAGGAAATTGAGAGAGGGCTGAGGACTTGTTACTGTGGAAGTGTCAGGGGGAAAAAAGTAATTCTTCATGCTGTCTGAGCCAGGAACGGTAAGAGATTTTAGTGCAAGTCTTGATTGCAGTGCACAGGGTCATGTGGTGGGGTGCATGTATGGGAGGTGTATATTGAATTGTATGTAGGTAGCACATTCTTCATTTATGCACTTTTTTACATAGCATGATTAAGGAACAGTACTTATGTACTTGCAGTCTTCTGTGATATTTCATTTGAAGTAGTTGTTGCTTACAGACTAATAAATTGTGATTTGTAATGTAAAAGTGCTGCGTTAGTGTTTTAATTGCCTGAGAAATTTATCTGTTGTTGGCAAATAATAGAAGACTGTAAGTATATGTATTTTCTAGGGAGGCAGAGGCAGGAGGATTTCTGTAAGTTCCAGGCCAGTCTATAGCAAGTTCCTGGCTAGCCAGGGCTACATAGTGACACCCTGTCTCAAAACACCAAACCAAAATGAAACAAAATATATTGTCCTTTGTACTAAATTTTGTCTATGTGAGAAAATTGATGAAATACTTGATTAACATTGTATTATAAGATCTAAGCAGCTTGCTGAAGCAAATTTAAGGTTTTTTGTCAATTGACTTTTTTGGAGGGTGGTAAGGATGCTGAGGATTGAATCCAGGGTCTTATACATGATAGGCAAGGGCCGTAGCCCTGGTTTACGTCTTCAGTCCTTGTCACTCATCTTAGCATTTGCATTTTAGCTCACCCCCCCTTAAAACGTGAAGTGTTTACGCAATAATAGAGATTATACTGATAGATCTTTAAAGAAAACATTACCAGACTTCTCTCTGCTGCTTTCTTGATGTTCTATTAGGCTGACTCTTAGTGGAGAGGGAACAACTAGCATGATTTAACACAGTGGTTGGTAGACGTTCTGTAAAAAGGCTAATGTAAATATTTTAACTTTCACAGGCCCTAAGTTTTTTATTGTGACTAGTTACCTGTGCTGCCGTAGTTTAAAGTAGCTATAAACAGCATGTAGGCAGTATATTTCAATAAAATTTATGGCAGCTCCCATTTGAATTGTATGTAATTTTCATATGTCATAACATTGTTCTTTTGATTTAACCGTTAACAAAGATGGGGTAGGAGGCAGAGGCAGGCGGAGCTCTGTGAGTTCAAGGCTAGTCTGGTCTACATAGTAAGGTCTACATAGCCAGCTGGGGCTTCAGGGAGACCCTATCTCAAAAAGACCAAAAAAAAAAAAAAAGAAAAGAAAGAATGGTGGCTGGGGAGATGGTCAGTGGATAAGGGCATTT